TTATTCACATGGGTGAATTAATGATTTGATGTATCGGAGTAACAAAAGTTGTTGGATGCAAACATCTTTTTCCATAAACAAAGACTCGTACCGTCGTCGCTGTGTTATGAAGTGACGCGCATAGCTACGTGGACCATGAAATTAATAAAGAAAAATCTTGAGTCCCTATGTACAGTCTATAAATAATATTATAAAATCCCGGGAATTATTTCGCACCGGATTCTAAGTGGGTGGAATTCTGCGGTTCCAAGTGGATTGTTAGGATTCAGCGGTAGCCCTGGGTTTGGTGTACCAGTTTGGCTTTTTTCTGGGTTCTGCCTGCAACGGTAAATAACAAAAGAATTAGGTCAGTTGTCTCTCTCTCTCCTCTCTCTCTCTCTCTTCAAATTTTGTTTGTGCATGAGTGATGATAGATTAGTAAAAATTCTTCAAGGACCCAAAATATGGGACCAATAGTGGATCATTAATGATGACCAACTCATTATCCAATAGGAGGGGGACACATTACTTGTTCCCCCTATTGGTCCCATATTTTGGGTCCCTGTAACAAAGCTCATAGATTAGATGTGTATTTGAGCCCGAGTTTACGTCAACTTAAGTGGATATATAGCAAGTTTTTGTCCATCAAATCTTTTATCCATTCATATATATATATAAAGTCTTTTCATATCTTTCATGGATGCCTAGATAACATCAATGGATAAGAAAGTAGATGAATGATCCACTTAAGTTAACATAAGAATTTCTCTGAGTCCATGGAGTTTAGCTTCTTTTGGTTTCAATGAATGTTTGTTGACTGTAGCAAAAAGGCTCGATCGAAATCCAACTATTAATTTCACAAAATTAAGCTTTGTTTTACTTTTCATTTACCTATTATTTTTTTTGGGGGTGGGGGCGGGGGGTTTACCAAATTACCACCCTAAGTAGTGAGACAGCTTAATTACTTTATTCCTTATGTTTATTTTTTTCGAAGAAGATTTTCAAATTGGGGCCCGTTTGGATGGATGTAACTATTAGAAGTAAGGAGTGAATCAAAGATGTAACTTCCTTAATTATGAACTAGAAAATGGAGGAAGTAGTACTTATTTTATTTGTTTCATATATTTTTAGAAATAGCGGAAATAGTACTTCATCACCTTCTTTTATTTATTTGTTTGTTTGGATAGAAATTGAATATATTATTTAAGATTTGTCCTTGGTAAATCTCTAATTTAAGTGGACCCCACTTTTTATTCACTTCCCTTCTATTTCTGAGTTTTCAATGGCGGAAAATTTTTTTAGGAAGTAGGAATGTTACATAGACGTCATATATGTATTTATGAAAGTAGCTGAAGCAGTCTTTTCAAAAAAAAAACATAATTTTTTGCTTGAAGCAGGAGAAACAACCCACTCCGAACCGACAACTCCACAGCCCAGCCCATCCCAAGCGCCAGCCACCATCGCTCACCGGAGTCAAGTTTCAAAATTTAAAACTGCAGACCCCATCCAGAGCTTCAAGCCACCAGACCCCTCACCCAAAAACCCCACACCCGAGAGCCACATCATCACGGGCCCCAACTCTCTAAATTAAAAAGTCTTCATGACTCCCCCCCACCCCGAGAACTGAGCACCAGCACGAGACAAACAAAAAAGAAGCGGTTCCCCAAGTTCAAATCTTTAAAATCAAAACCCGCTCCACCACGAGCCTCCAACGCGTCCCAATCGGCTGCGTCTCCTCGGCTTTCCTCGACCAGGCGAACGGCGACGATGTCCGCGTCATGCAGCAGCCACCACCACCACATCGTACTCCGCTCACTCCACCACCTACGGCCTCCTTACCTCCATTCGACCCCTGAAGACCCGAACAGCCAGCAGGCTCCGACCCCGCAGGCCCCGAAGAGCGGGCGGGTCGGCGTGACGACGACGCCTCCGTGGTCGCTCTACACGAGCAACCCTCCGGCAATCCGGAAGACCTTCGAGCGACTGCAACGCGTCCGCTCCGCCTCGGCGGCGCCAGCGTCGCTTCAAAGGCAGCGGACATCTCGAATGGACATCGGTTCGAAGCGAAGAGCTGAGTGGGCGCTTGCCGGGGGGGGTCGCGTGCCCAAGCTGTTCGTGCGAGGGTAGGTGGCGTGGCGGGCTTCGAGCGCCGTGATGAGGGTGATGCTGCCAGCGAGGAGGGGGGGTGTCCTCCCTGCTTTTGCCGCGGGTTGATGGAGCACGGCGGTGCCCAGGGACGGGGCCGGCGAGGGCTGCACGGGTGCCGGAGGGCGCCGGGTTCTTGAAACTGCTTCGGTGCTGCGGGGGCAGGGAAAGTCGGTGGCGGCGCGGCTGGCGGGTGGCGGGCCGGAGGCGAAGGGGAAGGGAGGCGGAGAGGTGTTAGGTGGCGGCGGAGTGCCAATTGAGAACGGCGCTCGCGTCCTCTGCCTGTTTGCTCGCTAGGGGGCGTTTGATGATTGGTATGGTGTAACGGGCGAATTGCGTTGCGAGCGAAACGACTATTGGCCTTGTTAAATGAGATTGGAGGCTGTGGATGGAGTTATGTGCAGTTTATTTTGGGCTTTGTCGATGCGCTGTTTCTGATTGTGGTTTCATCCTCCTTGAGTTTTTCTTGTACTTGCGTGGGGGATGGCATTCTACTTAAAAGATGTAGTTCAGTCTTACTTTCTGCTTAATCACGACTGAGCTTTGGACTTCTGAATGTAATTCTCGTGACAGAATATTAAACGCGCGTTATGATGCATCCATCGCGGATTATCGACTCGTTTGGAGATCGAGGGAAAAACGATGATCGCGGGTTCACATTCAACAGAATCGCGTCTTAATTGTTTACTACTACGTATATAGAAGTAGAAGATTCAAACAGGTTTTTAGTTTTTTCCTCGTCCCCGCGCGCGTCACGGTTTGTTCTTAATTTCTTATATCTGTTCTTAGGAGGTTTCAGTTTTTGGGTCACTCGGTGTTGAGGGTGGACTTGGTGGGTTGTTCAGGTTTAGGTCTGTTCAATGAGATGGGAGGCTGTGTTAATGGAGCATGTAGTTTTTTTGTGCTTGATCACAACTGAGTTTACTTCCCCATTTTGAATAATCTCTTTTTTCCCCAAAAAATTTGGAGAATGCTGCAGATTTAGGAAAGCTTCCCCATTTTGGCAAAGTTACGATCTCGTCCTTCCACAGTTTTCCTGTGTTTGTGTTTGCAGATAACGAACCATCTTAAATTTTAGCATTTGCTGTTGGATCATGATACTCTAGCTGAATTTAGTTTGATGGATCATGCTATTTATTCTAACTTTACCCTCACATTTATTAGTGCCACTTTCTATAGCACTCTCTTGAAAATCGATCTCTCGCCTTATTGGGCGAGTTTGTCGATCAACTATCAGGAGAAACGAGTTCATCCTACTAGCTAGTTAAATTTAAAAGCTTTTGGTGCTGTCGAAGTGTTTCGGTACGAAGTTTATGCAAGAATAATGATGTTAATTTATCCATTTACTTTTTTGTTTCATTCTCTCATGGTTAGCGACGGGTCCAACTATTCACACTCCTAAACAGTAACTTTGGAGGTGTGTGAGGACTAAATTGCCCTTCTCCAAAACCAAACTAGGCCAAGTCCAAAAGGATATTTTCGGCAATCCAACTCCCAAAGTTACTGTTTGGGAGTGGATCGATATAGCAAACATGGTTAGCGACTATTGCACGTCTTTCTAGGGCTTACAGCTATTAAGACAGAACTAGTGTGCAGCCGCAGCCGGTGCAACGCATGGCCCATGTTTTCTTCAGCACTGCATTTTGAACTTGTTTCCCTTTTTAAGTTTTAATGTATTTGATTTGATTATTATAAGCTTAAAGTTAAAAAATATATCCACTCCTCTATACTTAAAGAGTGATGCAAGTTTTAATACATTTGATGTAGAATTTATTTTTACTCGTTTATACTTTAAAAAAAAAATCTAAGTTTTAATATATTTTATTTAGAAATTATATCTATATTATCCAAATGTTAATACTGCAGGAAATTTTTTTCTGTAGCACGAACAGTTGTAGAGGGCAGATTTAGTTTACTATTTATACTACAATTATGTACTGTAGTATTATTGTATTATGAACAATAATTCTTTGAATCCTCCCATTAGTATAGAAGAATAGATTACCTCCTTTTTTACTGCAAAACCGTTCGAGAATAAAAAATGGTCTCATGTCCTAAAATCTACTCTTCTATACTTACAAGAGGATCCAAAGATCCGCTGTTCAAGCTACTACAAATAATGCTACAGTGAATTACTACAACATAAACATCAAACCATATTTGGCCCTCTGCAATCGAAGTTACTATTCATGCTACAACAATTTACTGTAGCATAAACTGCCAATTAGATCTAAGCGTCTATACTTGGAGCTACTATTCATTCTACGGTATTATTGTATTATAAACAATAAAACAAATTAAATGTGTTAAAACTTAAATTCTTTTTTAAGTATAGAGGAGTAGATATGATTTCTAAATCAAATGTATTAAAACATAGATCATTCTTTAAGTATATAGGAGTAGATACAATTTTTTATTTTAAGCATACAATAATTAAATCAAATGTGTTAAAACTTAGAGGAAGGCTAGTTCAAAATGCGATGCTTAAAAAAACAGGGGACCATGCTTTGCGTGGGGTGCACACTAGTAGGTTGTGTATGCAGAGAAGAAAAGGTTGCGTTAGATTTCAGAGGATAACCAATGAATCAGAAATGCGGAATTAATTATCTCACAAGTATTCTTTTTTTTACGGCTATTATCTTACAAGTATTTATTTTTTCAATTCTCGGATTACGGTTCACCATAGAGAGGGAGACTTTTGTAGGCTTTAATTTTGGGCATGTTTAGCTGCTGTAACTACCCATAATGGAGGGGTTATGCGGTTATGGGTCTACTTAGGCGCATCGAGTTGGGCTCATTGATTCAGGTTAAAACAACACCTAAAACCCGGCCCATATCGGACGCGAAACGACTATTGTGCTGTAGTTCATCTTTAACCTCCAGATCCGCTAAAATGTTCAACCACAACCCGCTTTCTCTACGCGGAAACGAACCCGATAGGCTCCGAGAGATCCCGCGCCGGTGCTCCGAGCAAATTCCCTCCCTCTCTCGAAACCCTTAAAGATCTCAACTTTTTCAATAGCCCCAAAATCAATCCCCCAAAGCCCTAGCTCTCAATCCACTGAAATCTGCCCCAATTTCCCCCTCTTTTTTTTTTTACCTTAGGGCTTGCTGCCAGCCAAAAACCCCCCCATGGAAATCTGCTGAAACCCTAGCCCTAACCCCAGTTTACTCAGATGAAGAGTCGATCTCATCGTCTTACTCCCTCGGATCCCCCCGACGACTGGGCCAACGGTTCATGGACGGTCGACTGCTCGTGCGGCGTCACGTTCGACGACGGCGAGGAGATGGTGAGCTGCGACGAGTGCGGAGTCTGGGTCCACACTCGCTGCTCCCGGTTCGTCAAGGGCGAGGCCAACTTCGCCTGCCACAACTGCAAGAAGAACCAAAACAGCGTCAGTTCATCGAAGAAACCTTCTTCGACAGCGATTGATACGGAGGAGAGCGAAGTTGCTCAGCTCCTCATCGAGCTGCCGACCAAGACTGACCCTTGCTTGCCTCCGAACCCGTTCCCGGGTCCCGCGTACCGGGCTCCGTTTCGTCTGTGGGCTGAAGTTCCGATGGAGGATCGGGTTCATGTTCAGGGAGTTCCTGGGGGAGATCCTTCTCTGTTTCAGGGGATTTCATCGTCCGTTTTTTCTTCGGAGCTCTGGAGGTGTACTGGGTATGTGCCCAAGAAGTTCAATTTTCAGTACAGAGAGTTTCCGTCTTGGGAGGAGGATGGAGGAGAGAATACAGCGAGCCGGGGTGCTGATGTTTTGTTCTCCTTGTCGAAGGAGATTGTGCCTTCTCAGGTCCCAGTGAGGGCTTTTGAGAGGAAGCAAGAAAATGAGAAGGTTTTGTTAGGAAGTAGGTTGCAGAGTTGGGGGAAGAAGGAAAGGAACAAGCTTCGAGTTTTCAGTTCGCATTCGAGTAAGAGGAGGAAGGAGGAGATGGGAGAAGCCAAGGAGAAGGACGGGAAGAAGAAGAAGCCGAGGAGTGATGCTGACAGAGTTGCAGCTGAATTCAAGAAGAGAGGTATAGTTTTTACTTAATTTAGGGTTATTTGCACATTAATACTGCAAGGTTTCACCCCTCTTTAACTTTGATGCTCTGAAGTTCTATTTTGACAACTTGACCCCAACAAGAAAAAATGTTGACGATAATTTTCTTTCAAGAATATCAACACAGCAAAATGAATGGGAAAGGCAGTTTCTTTCTAAGTGTTTTGAGTTTGGGTAAAGGGAGGAACAAATTTAGGGCATTGGGGTATCAAATTGTAATATCAATGGCAATCTGAAAATTCTTGAGTGTCAAATTGTTTAAAACAGAACTTCATGGTCTCAAAAGTTAAAAAAGGGTGAAACTTTGGGGTATTAAAGTGCACATAAACCTTTAATTTAGTAGAAAGAAAAGGAGAGAAGGTATTGACAATTTGATGTATTGGTTTCTTATCATGTTTTTATTCTGTAGTAGTTTCCGTTACTCTTGCCAATATCGATAAGGCTGGACTATCTGAGGATGGTGGTCTTCAGGATGCAAAGCCAGATATTCCATCTGTGAAGAGTGAAGAAAGGAAAGAAGATGCACCATCTCAGCATAATTCTGGTGATCAAGTGGAAAGAACGGATAGTGGTAATCAAGTGGAAATAATGGATGTTGACAGTAAACTGAAACATGTTTTAGTCATTAAAGCTTCTAAAGGAGGTTCTAGTGCGGAAGTACCAAGGCAGAAAAATGCATCAGAAGTGCATGTAAAGGTCAGAGTGGAGGACGGGCATGCTGGTATTTTATCGGAAGCTGATGCTTCTGCTGCATCTCAGAAGAGAAGGGAGGATGAAGTTAAGGAATCTGTGAAAGAAGAGGTATGCTTTCTATTGTCTACCCACCGAGTATGTTACCTATTATTAGCACAGTATCAATCATTTTATTCTGGACCTAGTTATCACAGTATCAATCATTTTATTTCTGCTGCATCTCAGAAGAGAAGGGAGGATGAAGTTAAGGAGTCTGTGAAAGAAGAGCACTGTTTTAAAAAACCTCCGCCTGGTCCGCTTAGGCGTACGCCTAGGCCTAGGTGGTACCTAGGCCGCCTGCCTAGCGCCTAGCGCTTAGGCGGTATTTAGGCTGCTCACCTAGATTTTACGAGCGTTTAGGGGAGCATTGTCTGCTTACGTGGATTGCACCCTGTAGGCCTCGGTTATGATTTTATGTGTTGTAGCCTACACGTCCTCCAAACTCCATTAACCTCCAAATATGAACACCTCCACTACTTCCTCCGACCTTCAACAAAACCTCATCAATCACCACTTAAATGAAGAAAAATCCGCCTAGACACCAGTTCGACATCTAAGCTTTCTATAACATTGACATTCACTATCAATTATTATAATTAAAAATAAAAAAAGAAAACATCTTAGGCTCTATCCTTGTTAATTATTATTTTGGCTATTTAGTATCTAAGTATGCATGATTTATTGTGGAACTAAGATTGCTATCTTTTTTTGAAAATTTATATGAATTTAATACATATTTTTATCAATTATTATAATTAAATAATTTAAAAATAGTCAAACGCCTAGGCGCTGCCTAGGTGTACGCCCAGGGGTCTAGGCGTTAGGCGCTCACTCAAACGCCTAGTCTGCCTAGCGTCTTCTGTAACATTGAAGAAGATGTATGCTTTCTATTGTCTACCCACTGAGTATGTTACCTTTTATTAGCACAGTATCAGCTATTTTATTCTGGACCTAGTTTTTGGCATAGTGTTTCAACTTTGTAATCATGAAAAACTGAAATTCACTTTTATACCACTCATGAGAAACTGGTTTCTGTGCATAACCTAGTGTTTGGCAAGAGAGAAAATATAGGGGGTTTGAGTAGTTGTATGTCTGTTCGTGTGGTATGTGGCTTTTTTGTTGGGGTTGGAGGGAGGTGGGGTTGTGGTGGTTGGAAGTGATCAATAGTTGATTACACCTCTTGCCTCTTGTGGTTTTTATTTATTATTTTTTTGGGAGGGGGAATTCTACGGAGGGCCCTCTATAGAAAATCATATAGGGCAAAAGTGGAACATAGCACATGCCCCCTACCAATTTTAAACCAGTGCAATAAACATAATATTTCACTACTGTACATAATATATCACTACAATTATTACATATGACATCAGTGCAATCGCTAACCTAGATATGTGTCACGCCTCGGACTTGTCAGCATGTTGGCCCGATGCAAGCCCTGGGACCACTGAGGACAATACGTTTGGCTCAAACAACTGCTAAAATGACTAGCCATTGTTAATTTGTTACTGTTGATTCTATAACCTACCTTATAAATCCATCCTTCAGTGATTTCCCGACGCAGGACAGATAAAAGGGGTATCACAATAACCCCACCTTAACTATACGAGATCCTCATCATGGGATGACGGTGGTCTATTGCAAGGTCATCATCGGACTTTGTGGATTCTATAGGTGGCCCACCATGCTCACGTGCATGCAGTTGGTCCCACACAACAGCTAGCTTCTCACTTCCGATTAACTAACTGTTTTGTTATCATTTGTCACACCTCCATGCTGTGAGTCCGTTGGCACGATGTCCGTAGCCGTATCCATGCAACATAGAGGGCCAACATAAATTTGACTAAATGAACAATTGTCTAGCCAATTACCATGATGGACCCGTCTTCTCCTGGTTCAATATGAGTCAACCCATTTGCCAAGGTCTTGCTTTGAAGAATCCCACTCAAATATATGGCTATATAATGCAATAGTTTAAGTTCGGTTAGGAATAGAAGAAGCGAAGTTAATCATTTGTCGAGATTAAAAATTCTTGTAGTACAAAATTATAGCCGTCAATGTTGTCACAATATAGTTTTGGTGAAACCATAGGGTTTTAATAGGGAAGCAGGCCCATGGCCTTGACGACGGATGTTTGTGCTGCTTTGAGATGTTAGCATGGGGTTACAAGTAGGTTTGCTCTACAAAACACATACTCAGATAATCGTCTCTTATAAAAGAGAATTATGTGCTAGATGGCTAAATAAACTTATACTCGATACTCAAAAAGATAAATCATTTAGATCAATGTGAATCCAACCAAATTAACCAAACTCATCTCCACTCATATGCCTTTGCAAGCCAATACTCAAAAAGACATATTCACTTTCAAGTTATCTTTAATAGGAAAAGTAAAAAGGAATTTCAAAGGACATGGACATCAAGTTGAAGTATAAGGGACAAGACAATGTAGTCCAGAGCTTAAAAGAGGCAAATATGTGTTTTCAAATTACCAAGTGGGTAATTACCTTCAGGTATAGTTTGTTTTGTCCTGGCTACTGGATCTTCTAGAATGTTTGTGCTTGAAGCTCGTACATCTGCCGATCCTCTGGAGTGCCAGACTTTTTACTTAAATTGGTTCACAAGCAGTTAACTCATTTGTTGGCGACATTTGTTTGCTATTCATTGGGGTAGGTTTTATTGTTTAGTGGGTTGTTTTTAAAATTAAGATCAGGTCTTACTTATTCCTGTACATTAAAATCACATGAAAGGCCTTTGATGCAAGAGATGGAAATAGAATCTTAGAATGTCCTCCATAGAAAATCATATGTCAGGTGTCCCAACACACGTTTGGTGATACCCCATCCGTTTTCTCCCGTATTAGAAAATTATGGAAGTATGGACGGGTCTATAATGTGGCTCATGTGAATCGAGTGTAACAATTGCCCGTCATTTTTGGCAGCATTTTGAGCCAAACAACGTTTTGCACTTAGTGGGTACACGGGCGCATTGCAGACATGGGACGCAACAAAATTGTAAAAGGTAGGATACAAGAACACAGTTATATACATGCATATTAAAATTAGTACTATATATGAGATCAATATTGTTTTTCATTCACATGTTATAAGAACTAAAATCTAAAATCTTTATACCAATTTTATGTTGCTTTCACTGAGTAGATTATAAATTGATTAACTGCTCTTTTTTAACTAGATACCTAGACAATCTTTTAAAATCATGCTTATGAACTAGGTATGTGTTAAAACGAACTCATCCCGAGCTCAACAAGTTGCGTAAAATTTAGGTGAAGTGTACGGTATACATACAACGCGCGTATCACAAGATTTTAAGACTAAAACATGCATTATATAATTGAGTACACATCTGAATAAACGTATGCACATATTCAAGAAGTGTCCAAGGAGTGTCAAACATGAGCATGGATATGGAAAGTGTCGGAAACGGATATGGGAGCATGGATGACGTGTCCAGGTAACCTAGTTGGTAGCTTTACAAGAAAACGGAAAGTCGGAAACAATAATAAAGTCTTTATGTATTTATTTGCGCGCCCATTGGTTTATTTCATGAACTAGGAGTGTTTTAGTTAATTTTTGGACAATTATACTACCCCTGAATCATTTCATTTCATTGATCTCAAAAACATTTTCCTATTTTATATTTATGCACGAGAACTGTTTGAGCTGAAGTATATTTTGGTAGTCATGCACCTAACTCAATTTTAAGTTCCATCACTAGATTGTTTCTTTCTGCACCATTAAAACGAGCAACATTGGTTTACTATTTTATTAGGATTTAAGCAAAGCGATACATGATTTGAGACAATCCAAGGATGAGAGCAATTTTCAGCGAGATCCAAATGGTCCGGAGAAGGCTAAGCCTTTATCTTCCAGTTCGTGTCAGAGAAATGAAAAGATGAACCTACCAGTCACTCAACCACCGTCAGAGCTTTCTAATAATTCAAACTCCATGCATCCGCCAACATCTGTAAACGATGCTAACACTTTAAGCGATGATCAACAGGTAATAAACATAAGCTATGGGAGTGTCTTTTTTCTATTATGATTTTTCATAATAATGACATTCCTTTTTTCTGGTTTTCTTGGTTTTTCTCTTATTTTTGACAGCTTGGTTTACTTTTGCATCGAGAACTAAACAGTTTTTTTAATTATTTTATAGGAGTCGAGCAAAGCTGTAAATTGTTTGAAACAATCCAAGGATGAGAGCGATTTTGATGGGGTTCCGAACAATTCAACACAGGCTAAGCTGGTGTCTTCTGTCTCATCTCAGAAAAATGAGAAGTTGAACCCGTCAATCCCTCAACCACCCTCAAAGCGTCATAGTCATTCAACGTCCATGCATCCACCAACATGTGCAAGTGCTATTACCACTTTAAGTGATGAAGAGGTACTATCATAAGCCACTGGCATATTCTTTTGTTTTTTTATAACAAAATTTCGCTTGGTTTCTTATATCTCTCATATTTTGACAGCTTGCATTACTTTTACATCAAGAACTAAACAGCTCTCCTAGAGTTCCAAGGGTTCCACGCATGCGTCAAGCATCGGGTATGCAGTTGACTTCTCAATCTGCTCCAAGTATGCTTTCAAAGCGCTCTTCACATTCTGCAGGAAAAGATCAGGTATAATACTTGATTTTGAACCTAACATTGATGACACAAAACCAATTGTTTGTTTCTTTCTAAGATACCAATCTCAGGCAATGGCTTGTGATGTACTCGTATGTTTGTGAGAAATTGAGGGTTGCTTACCTGATGTCTGCTTCTTTGTCCTTTGAAAGGTGTTTAGAAGGAAGAACAAAGAAGAGGCATCCAGAGATGGGTCTCACAACTCCCATGAGTCAATAGATGAAACAAAAAAGGCTGGAAGAGCTATGTCTATTCCTGATCGGAGATGTCGAGAATCATCCTTTGCAGATGGTTCTGCCAAGAAGGATTCACGGCATAGGTCACCAGATACTGCTGTGTCTTTGAAGAAGAACACATCTTGTGCCTTCACTGAAGGTGAGAACGCCAGCCAATCTTTCTTTGAGGCTAGCAGACAGAATGTGTCGTCCGTGAAGGGTTTTCCTAAGGATGCTTCAGATGATAAGACTACTCGCACTTTGCCTGGTACGAAATGCATACATTTTTACAAGTTTATGTCTATTTCATGTACTAAGCAGCATGCCTCCTTTGTTCTATAGGATTAATTAATGAGATCTTGAGCAAGCAGAAGTGTTCGTCATACAAAGAACTATGTGACGCTGTTCGTCCGGTATGTTGTTTCAAGCTGTAATATTTGTAGGACGAGCTATCTATAGATGGCTCTAGCTTTTATTTTCCTTCATTTCGATTTATTGTTCTTATTGTTTTGGCTTCATTGCAGCACTGGCACAATGTTAGGAAGCCAAATGGAGACCGGTATGCTTATTCTAGTCATTCACATGCTGTTTTGGATTGCTTGAGGAACAGGAGTGAGTGGGCACATCTCATTGCCCGGGGCCCGAAGGTAATATATGTCGCAGACAACAATATCTAGGTCTATGGTATATGTTTTATTTTCACTTCGCATGAAGAAAGAGGTAGTGAAAGATTGGAACTGTTTTATATTCAATTTGCGGAAAGACAGAGTGAATGGCCTTATACGTTTATCATAAAAAAATGATAAAAAAGCTTTTGCTATTATTGCTTCCTTTTTTCCTCATGCTGCCTGTAGTCTTGCCTTTCTTTCCCACCTTTCTTGCTCACATTTCTTCTTAGCGGTTCCTGGGTTACAAAATGGGTTATCCTTACCATTATTTTCTCTTCTCAGATCTCATTTTTCTTTATGTGATGATATTCCCAGTTGGTTATATCTCCATAAATAATCAAACGAAGTTGCATCTTCTTTTTCTAGACTGCATACTTATTCTACTAGTATTATGGATCCTTTCAAGATTGATGCAAAATAGGTTTTGTCTTGTCCTTGGTAGTAAAAGGTGGGAAAGTAGGGGGGAAATCTTGAACATTGTACATAGGAAACTCATATCCTGTTGGTATCTTGAAAATTTATGCTAAAAAGACTTTCCTTATTTTTACACTCATTTTAATTGTCAATTTCAGACCAATTCTAGCAAGAGAAGACGGAAGACTGATTCAGATACACCAACCATGGAAGAAACAGAGAATGAAGAAGCAAAAACTAGAACTTCTTCAAAGGAGTTAGATGACAAAAGTGGGGATTCACACAGGGAAGATTTTCCGAAGGGTAAGCGGAAGGCAAGGAAGCGTAGGATGTTGAAGGTAAGAGGTCAGAGTGAGGAGTCCAAGAAGAGAAAGCGAACCACCAGCTCAGGATCTGCCATCCTATCAGAGGACGATGATAGTGATGATGATGAAGAATCTGCTGGTGCATTCTCCAATTCGAGCAATAAGGGAGCTGATGGGGAATTCAGCGAGGATGAGAGTCATGGAGCTGTAGAATGTACTGTTAGAACCGAGGCCTCAACTTCGACCAGCTCTGCAAGTTCAAGATAAGAAAGTTTATCCAATGGTACATAATTGTGGGGATGTGATTACTTAATGGAGTAGTGATCCATGGAGTGCTTCTTGATTGAGTTTTAACTTGGTTTAGAACTCAATTTTCATCATCATCCTAATTCATCGATACATGACTAGTTTTCTTATAGGCACTTCTAGATGTTCTTTGAATCTTCCACTGTATATAAAGGCTAAATGTTGGCTTTCTGTTTGGCTTTAAATCTCAGAAGTTTAGCTTATCCTTACAGTTATATGACCTTTTGTTTAGGTTCAGTTTGAATTTGAATAGCAAAATGGAGTATCTTGTATGTGTATCAGATTCTAGTTGAAGCAGCTCATTTTGTATATTCATTTGAGTAAATCAAAATTTTGATCTTCTGTCTACCAGTCACCTGTGAACTTGAGAATTTCACATTATCTTTTATTTTTAAATTTTATTTTAAATTTCAGTTGCAAAGTGGAAGCTCTTGTATGCACTTTAGATTCTAGATGAAGTAAAGGGAGCTTTAAATGTTTAAATTTATCTGTAAAGTTGATTATTGATTCTGTCATACCTTTTTTTATAGATTATGTCACAGCTGATCATATTGTTGAAATTCTTCGATACTTGTTTTGTCATGTTATCCATGACTTTTTAGTTTCGATGCAGGAAATTTCTTGTTGGTAGAGTTGCAGCTGAATTTGAGAAGAAAGGTATAGTTTCTGTTTTAAATATTAGATAGAAGAGGGAATGTGCTGATCGATGCATTTTCTATCATTTGTTAATGTTTTAGCAGGTCCGGTTCCTGTTGCCCATATGGAGAAGGCTGGATTCTCTTAGGACAAGGGTTTTAGGTCATGGAGTCCGTATTCCAGTATGAAGAGCGATGAATCAGAGTGATGGTACGTTAACAAAAACTGTAAAAGAGGTATATTTTCAGTCATGTATCCATGTAGCCTTTCTTCTATGCCACCTAGATTAGGATATTAGGTCAAATTTTTTTCTACACCTGGCTATGCCTTATGATATTTAGCTCTAGTAGGGGAGTTAATTCAATATTTATAGCCAACTAGCCATGTGCATGTTGTGTAATAGTTCTTAGTTCTAGAGAATGACAATGATTCTAGTTGAACAAGTTAACATAAAGTCAGATATTCTGCTACAAGACTTTGACAGCCCCAAGAGTTGCTGAGTTGGGATGAAATTATTTTTCCTGATAGTTTATCAACAAGGTTGCCCAATGTAGAGAAAATATTCAGAGAATAGCATAAGTCATAAATGTGATGGCAAAGTTAGCACTTGATTGCATGGGATGGTTAAAGGTAGAGATTGAAATTTCTCATGACAAGCATCATAAAAGGTGTAGACACTATAAAATTTATCAAATATTACAGCAACAGGATATTGGATTCAGTTCAGACATCAAAGGTTGGGAAGATATTGGCTAGTGTAACATTTTTTGTATGTTGATTTAGCGATGATAATACCATCTAAATTTTTGGATCCTTAGCTGTTAAAGGGTCTTAAGATACTTAAGAGAGGTGGGGAATTTAATAGATTATGTAACATGTGAGTCTTTAGACTCTGTACAACTCGTGGTATTTTTGAAGTGAAGAACTACCTTGGGGTGCTTAATTTTTTTAAACCAGTTTTGTGAAGAGTGGTGGTAAACGTGATGGCAAAGTTAGAATTTGATCACATGGAATAGTTAAATGTAGAGATTGAAAGTTGCCCACAACAAGCGTCCTGATGGTGTAGACACTAAAAATTTATCAAATGTTACAGCAACGGGATATTAGATTTGGTTCGGAGGTCAGAGGTTGGGAAGATATTGATCAGCATTAATGTTAATAATATGTTGATTCAGCAATGATGACACCATCTAAATCTTTAGATTCTTTACCGTTA